CCCAGAGACGTGAATTCGCCAGTGTCATCTGATTACCAGTGCAAGGACCCTGCAAATTCAATCCAAGAAATTCATCTGATATGAGAGTAGCTACAAACCAATGCTGGGTTTAATTACTTGAGATAGGGCTCTTTTGGCATCCTGAAAAACTTGGATTAGCTATAATTCATGGTCCATTTCTTCAACTATGCAGCTGGGAGCCTTTCCAGTTACTTTGACTAATACTACCTTGTGGTCAGCCTATTGCTGACGATCCTGATTTTTGCTCCGTCTCCTGAAGGGACTAAAAAAAACGGCTTCGCCGTTTAGTGTACGTGTCATCAGCTCACTTCAAATACTCCCATTCCTAAACCATGATGATAAGAGAGATGAGATACCATCTTGCTGTCACATAATGACTTATTGCTTTTTGTTAAAAATTGCGAGCCATTGCAGATGAAAATGATAATATCACAAGCTGTACTGATTGAAGGATGCATGAAATTACAGTTATGGTATTAGAAAAATTTGTCAGAGATTGACAACTGAAAAAAAAAAATATGCGTGCACCTGTATGCTTTCAGTAAGTGTATTGAATACTTGGCTGCACACTTGAATTGCCCTCAAAAAATACTCCTTGCCACCCTCGTCGATTACTTCCTTGCTCGAATAATGCCAATAGAAATCCATTACGGATTCTTGAAGGCGTAGCAAATAATCAACAGTGCAGTTGATCAGATTCACGCTTGTCGTGTGTCCTGGTTGGGTTCGTAGGTAATTTTGGAATTCTGCAAAAAAAAAGAAAAAGGAATTACCAAAACAAATGAAAGCTTTGAAAGCATTACTTGGAATATGACTAAAGTAAGAGATATTGAAAAATTTAAAAGTGCTTGCTTTCTTTCTTGTTTCTTTAGAATTTTGATAATTCGAAGCAGAACTTAATAGTGAACGTGCAAAATGAAGAAAAAATCCGATAAAAGTAAACCATAAAAAGTGAAAAAAATAACAAAGGTCGTCTGTGTAATCAGTGGGGGTACTTCGTGTTAGCAATTTTGTTGAGATATTTTCACATTCCGAGTGCAACTATGCAAAACCCTTCGATTTTGAGCTGTGTACCTTCAGTTATTATTTAAATAATAAATATTTGGGGTCGAAAAAAACAAAAATAATTGGAGGTTTGACTGATTAAGTTGTACCCTCCTCGGCCTAAAAAAGATGTACTTTTTTCTTGACCTTTTTACTTAAATTAAAAAAATGCTGCAATTATTCTTTTTGCTATTTTTTCGGTTTATACCTAGGAAAAGATTTCTAGTGAAATGGTTATGATAATACCCAAAGAGATTTCTACCAGTAACGGAGGTGCAAAAATCCAGGGGAAACGGCATCTCCCTGTTGTTTTTACCTTACACTGTTACACCACTAGCTTCATGTGCCCGATACACTGTTCCGAATGACTCAAACCACTTTCTTCCATCCCTCATTCCCGTTTGAACTCCCTGATTTTGCATAATATTTTGCGACAGATAAGAATAAAGTTACATGTGATTAAAAACGATTATTTAAAGTGATTATATTTTTTGCAGAAAACCAGTTGGAATCACCTAAATTATGGCCTTCGCAAGTGAGCTGTAGAAATCGGAAAAGACTGCATGTAAATTCAGAATCGTTCAAATTCTGGTTATCACCAGCGGCCAATTCAGCACCCATACCCAGACCTTCAGCCTGAAAACGACATGAATTTATATGCACTATGCGCAAGTTGAACTAGACATCGAGTAATTCATTAGAAGACCTAATTAGTTCGGACCTTTGTCCAAAAAAAATTTAACAGCTCGAGTTTGAGCACCATAGCAGTGACGACAAAATCTGTTAGTTTCCAGCTTGTTTTAATTGCTAAATCTAGTGTATATAGTCTCATAAGGTTTCAAAACTGATGAAAGAGCGATGGAGAAAAGGATGCTTGGAAAGCCTCTTCCTAACATATAAATAATCAGATTCTGCGTCAGATGAGCGGACAAGCAGGATGTCACCGAGATTGCTCAAAAAAAAAATGTGATAGCAGGGCTTGTTGCTCGCCTTGCCGATAAGTAGCAAGTGATATTTGTGTGAAGAAAAACGACCATCCGCATGTCTTCTAAAGAAACTGTAGACGCGGAATACGCGATTGGCACTAACTACGGAAATGCAGTTCAGGATCAAAAAATAGCTGCGCCCGGTGCGTGAAAACATTCCAGTAACACCGCTAACACCGGATTCCTAGGTTGTCAAATTTTTGAAATCAAGAAAACGAACTTTAATTTGCCTTTCGAACATTTCAAGGTTC